GGGGCAGGCGTGGTGGTGGCCGTGGTCGCCGGGGCAGCGGTGGTAGCTGCTGTAGTAAAGGGTAATGGTATTTCTATGTCTACTCCCGTGTATGGCTCTTCCGGAATATCTTCAAGTCCCCAAAATATATTAAATTCTGAGTCAGAATCAATGACAGTTGGAATAGTGGGAAGAACAGGACCACCAGTGGCACTGGTTGTTGTTGTTGGTGGTGGTGGTGTTTCTATGTCTACTCCTGTGAACGGCTCTTCCGGAATTTCTTCAAGTCCCCAAAATATATTAAATTCTGAGTCAGAATCAATGACAGTTGGAATAGTGGGAAGAACAGGACCACCAGTGGCACTGGTTGTTGTTGTTGGTGGTGGTGGTGTTTCTATGTCTACTCCTGTGAACGGCTCTTCCGGAATTTCTTCAAGTCCCCAAAATATATTAAATTCTGAGTCAGAATCAATGACAGTTGGAATAGTGGGAAGAACAGGACCACCAGTGGCGCTGGTTGTTGTTGTTGTTGTTGTTGGTGGTGTTGGTGGTGTTTCTATGTCTACTCCTGTGAACGGCTCTTCAGGAATTTCTCCAAGTCCCAAAAACTGATCCAAGTCAAAGTCAGAATCAGTTTCCTCAAATGAATCAGTAACCACAATTGTTGGTTCTGCTGGTTCTGCAACAGTTGTCGTCTGCGTTGTTGTTTCTATCAATTCTGAATCAAATGGTTCAACAGGTGTTTCATCAAACGTCCACAGTTCAAGAAAATCTGGTTCTTCTAGAGCCCTCCTCACATGATTCTTCCGAACGTTGTTTGACAAAGTCGGGGAACAAGCTGCCGACTTGGGGCACAGTCTCCCAGTATCATCCATGAATGAAAGTTCAAGGCCAGAGTCCTGTGAAAAATCTWAGCTTTAGTTTTCCCAAAAAACTATTTCACCAATGGTTTTGAACATGTTTTGCACTTGACTTACCCTGTCTGGTAACTTGGGTATATCCATTAATGGTGCACTGGAGGTCTTCCACTGTCTCACTGCTCCTCCTTTTTTGGTGATAAAATCTGCCAAAAAAAGCAAATTCATTAGTAACCTCTTAGATTAACTTGTGTGTGCACAAATCAGAAGTTAAGATCCTTGATCCTGTAATTATGAGCTGAAACTATTTAAAACTTCYRCAAAACATTCACAAAAGATCTTCCACATCATTTTACAGAAATTCTCTACATTAGAAAAGTTACTGATAGCTCAACATTAGTTATGTTATAAGGCAGTAGAGTATGATGGGTGTGTGTCTGATGGCCTGTTCAGTTAATTCATCCCAATAACTGGCCTATAGGTTTTGATCATTTAAATTTTTTTTTTCTAAGTAAAATGTTGAACTGCGAGTTCACTTTTGAGTTTTGAAATGTTTTAAATGCATACAAAATAAAAACAGGTAAAGGGAAAACGTCTGCCAATTAAAAAATTTTACTGAACTCTGGAATTTTTCTGAATTCATTTGTTTTTGAGTTTCAGAAATAATTTTTTTCAGATTGTTTTTTTTCCAGGTCATCAGTAATCGTTTTCCTGGCTGAAAAAAATAAGTGGATGAAAATATCGTATTATGTCTCTTTTCTGACACCTTGTGGTCAAACCCTGTTACAAGCTGATATTTGGGGCTGTTTAGAAGTCACGTCTAAAAATAAGATCAATTTTAATTGATCACATATCGGGGATATTAGTTGTTAGAGCAGCAGGCAGCTCAGAATGAAGTAGACAAGAGAACAGAATAAAAACAGCTGAGTATGTTCATTATATACAACTTTCACTGGAGTGGTTTGTGTAGAAATGTTATAAAGTAAAGTGGCACAGGATGATTGCAGGAGAAGAAAGTTTGTACTTAAACACAAATTTGCAAATGCTTCTTCAACTCAGTCTAAAAAAATGATGACTCCAAACATTCATGAACAACAGGGACGGTGCAAAAGAAATGAATTAAATCATGCACAAGCACAAATATGATATATTTTGAATATTCTGATGAGACAACTCTCAGAGTTAAATGGATTTAAATGACGTGACAAAACTTTCAGTCTTTATCAGAACGAATGGGCAGTTTAAAAAAAAAACATTTATCCAGAGGATAAAAACTTTGTCTCTGTTATAAATGATTTTTACATTTGAGCTCTGGCCTTCACTTGAGGTTTGGTGCTTTATAAAAAGCACATGACTTCTCTCCAGGACAACTGATGACAGTTTGAAGCTCCACGTTTTAAACGGTAAAATCCACAAATGGCTCCAGAGAGCTGCAGCTTTTTTACCTGTGAGTAAATTCCGAACCAACGCTGGGAGGCGACGGTGCTTCCGGTCATCAGTCACCGACCTGAACGGCTTCTCGCTGCCGCCGCATAACTCGTCCTGATCGGCCGAACGTCCACGTGCGCACCGGTGGCTCTCTGCGTTGTTGTGCTGGGCTAGAATGACGACGATCCAAACCCGAGCCATCAGTGCAGACGCCATGGTCGCTCCAGGCCGAACAGCTTCTCTCTGACTGATGCGGATTGAGGCACCTGCGCACCTGCGGGTCCTTTAGAGCCAGAGGCCGCACAGGTGCGTTTTTACCTGGCGTGAGACGTTCACTGGAATCGGGAGAAATAAGTTCCTGACTGTAATTCAGGAGAATAACATAAATCAAACCATGCAAAGCAAGAGGAATTACTATTTACCAGAGTAAAATACAAACAAAACAAATATCTCTTTGGCTGCATGCTACAAAGAGGAAAACAGTCTTTGCATCTTCCTTGTGATAGTTGACTTCAACCTTTAACACTTAAAAGTCTGTTTGATCAACAAACTTTCATTGGAACATACACGACGATGTCCGCACTGCTAGCTGGAGATCTACTATTCTCACTCACATGAGAGCAAGCCAACCAGATTTGAACCTATGATGCAAATACAACTGTACCAACTGCTGCTAAGGACAACAAAATACTTCAAAACAACCTCAAAGCAACCATAAAGAGTTAGCTACCAAAAGAAACACAGAATCAAATCCGATCATATCAGCTGATCAGCAGAGAAGAGCCGTGAGGAGGGTCAGTGGTGTTTTGGCTTCTATAAAGAGAATTACGTTTCTGATGTAAAGAGCTACTGGGTCAAAATCTACCAAAAAACTAAACTGAGACAAAACGAGAAGCGTAATGTGGACATCAGTGTTTCATAAAGAGTCTTGTTGTTTACCACCCTGAACACATCTGATGTCATCCCATCTTGGACGTTAAGCAGGGTCGTGCCTGGTTTCTGAAGGGAGACCTCCTGGGAATACAGGAGCCATAAGCCTTTTATCCCCCATCTCAAATCAGCGGAGGGCGCTGATGCTTCTGTATTTCAGAAATCAGGACTTTAAAAAATGTTTTTATTGAAAACCTGAAGTGTACAGACAGCAAGGCATTGAAATCATGACAAATAATTCCAAAACAACCAGGCGCATTTTAGAAAATCAAGTCCATCAATTTGAAGTGTACTGTAAATATGTTTTGGACTCATCATCTGACAGAAATAGGGATTGCTTTGATTACCTTGTTAAACTGAGTACGTGAACAAACTATGTCATATTTCATGCAGAGATTTTAATAGCACGTGAATAGATTTCTATTTCAAAGTCTGTTGTTCCAAATGGGGGTTTGGTGTGGGGTGAAATTATCTGTGTACATGAGTACACGAGTCATTTTTTCACCGCTGCCTGTCGAGGTGGTGTCCACAAAACGTCATCATCATCCTGGTTCATCCAAGCCTGAATTTACATGAACCAGTTCATCTTATTATATATCGTCCACCTGCTCCTAACTCTGAATTTTCATATAAAATCTCTGATTTTCTATCTGAAGTCTCTGAAAATCTCTGAGCTCAGACAGATAAAGTCATTATAGTCTGTGATTTCAAGATTCATGTGGATGTTGCCAGTGACAGTCTTAGTTGAGCATTTAATTCATTCATAGACTCAGTTGGTTTTGTGAATAAACCCACTCACTGTTTCAATCACACTCTTGATCTTGTTCTGACATATTGCAGAGACATTGAAAATCCTCTGGCTGACTATTTTAAAATACATTTGAATTAACAATTATTGACCACAGTGATTCCCACAATTAGGAAATAATCTACAGTTATTTATTTTTTGAGTAATCCAAAAGTTATGTGTTACAATTTTAGCATGTGTCTATGTCTTCTCATTACCTTGAGTTTATTCCCATCAGTGCTTACATCAGACTGCCATCTAGTGGTTACTTTCTACAGATCTGGTGAGCTTCTAAAGCCTCAATATTCATGAATTATAGATTTTGTCTACACAATTACTACTTATTAAAAACTATATCAAAGTGAGGAACTCTGTTATGAAATAAAAAACCATGAGTGACTGAGTAATACAATGTTTATTTTTAAGAAAAGCTGGTGGAGGAGGGACTTCTGGTCTAGCCGCCATTTGTCATGGTGGTCTAGCCGGCTGGCGTGGTCGTCCATCCTCCGGGCGGGGTGGTCGAACCTTCAGGAGAGGACGGTAAAGTAATGAAGTAAATTAAAGCAGATAAATGATTCATTTCTAAAGATTTTGTTCTGATGTCTTTTTCTTTGTCTCCTATTTAGGAACGTGTGAAATGAAAGTAACAAATCTTAAAAGGATTAACAATAAAATAAGATGATCATTGATTAGTCCAACAATGTGGAAATATGATACAAAGGGGATTTTTGAACCTTCAGGTGTGCTGGTGAAGCCGACTGGTGTGGTGGTCAAGCCCCCCATCAATCCTCCAGGGGTCGTGGTGGAGTCAACATTGGTTCTTGTTGTGGCGATGGAGGAGCTTGATGTCATGGAAGCAACAGTGGTCGTCGTCGGGGGGGCAGACATGGTGGTAGAGGTGGTGGTGGTGGTGGTAGTCGTCGTTGTTGCAGGCGTGGTGGTTGTCGTCGCAGGCGCCGT